CCCCTCCTCCCCCCCCCTCTCCCCAAAATCTCCCACGTTCTTCCCCTTTTCCTCCCTTCTTCGTGACCCTAAAAGCCGATTTTGGGCAGCCAATAGAAAGCCTCATTTGAGTAGGGTCACTTTTAGGTCCTTAGGTATTAAAAGGTATGGTGGTATTTTCGAATTCGCTGAGAGTGGGAGGAAGAGTGGGGGGGCAAGAAGTAAGTGGCTTTTTTTTCCCTTTTTTTTTTTTTTTTTTTTTTTTTTTTTTTTCCCCCTCTTTTTTTTTTTTTTTTCGCCATCGCCCCCGCATGAACCTTCACTGACCAGCGTTTCTGCTGTTTTTTTTTTTTTTTTTTTTTTTTTTTTTTTCTCCCCCTCTTGCTGTGTTCTATTTCCCGATTTCCACCGAAAGGTAAAACAAATTGCAGAAAATTGAAACAAATCTAAAAAAACTAAAAATATATATAATTGGAATCTGGAATGTGTTTCCAGCTTACGTGATGTTTTTTTTTTTTTTTTTTTTTTTTTTTTAACGACATGTAATCTCTGCCGCTCTTGAAAAAAAGGTTGTAATAATATTACGTTACTCCTTCGGGCATTTAATTTTGACGTACCTGGCCGCAATTTCGGCGTTCTTTGAACCGAACAGGTGGGAACCCTGTAAGCCCTGACGATTCCGGTTCAGAAAATTCCGAAATTGCGGCCAGGTGCGCCAGAGTTAAATGCCCACAGGGGTAATAAATATAGATTGATAATGTAAGGAATGCGGAAAAAAGAAAAAGGCAGAAAAGACTCTGGTTTTTTTGTTTTTTGTTTTTTTTTTTTTTGCATTCCACAAAATTGTAAGTCTATCATATGCAGTAAATAATCAAATGAATCTCTCGTCTTCTTTTTTTTTTTCATCATGTTTTTTGGACCAGCCACCCCACCGTGTGTCCAGGGAAGGGGAAGGACGAGAAAGGGAGGATGTGGAAGGCAGGAGGTGCAAAAGGGTGGGGTGGAAAGAGGTGGGGGCATTAAACTTTGTGTGGGGGGCAGCGGGCCGGCGGGGCAGGGGGGGTTGGAAATTCCGTCAATTTCCAAGCTTGACCCAGGGGGGCTAAATGTTCTAGTGGACTAAAAGCCATTAGGAATTTTCTTCTTTTTTTATGGAGCTTTTGATGATCGATCTCTCAAAGCCAAAGCAATCTAATACATACTCGGAAAAAAGCAAAGGCCGTAGGCTCGCTAGCTGGAGAAAGATTAATCACTACAATGATACTTTTTTCTATTCCGGGTCATGCCCATCCCATCAGGTGTTTCCTTTTTTTTTCCTCAATTTTTTTCAGAACACAAACACGTTTCATGTTGTGGGAGGAGCCCCCTGTTGACTGCCGATCAACCCCTCTTAACCCTTGTTTAGTTTTTTCAATTTTTAAGACCTCTTTAGAGTTTTAGAATACCTTTGAGCTGCGGCTCTGTCTTTGCAAAAGAACAGAAATTGTGAAGCCCTTCCCCACTAATTGGCATGGAGCAATCTAGTTGATGATGATGGAAGGCAAGGGGGGAAAAAGGGGGGAAAAAAAGACAAGCAAGAAAAAAAAAACGACAAGCAATGGTCAATTGCTCTGCACACGCTCTTCAGATTGAATTACCGAAAGAAACATACAAAAGCGTGTTCTCATGCTTCGAAACGCACACGCATGCCTCTACTACATATTCCAACCATATTCCCTTGTCTTGAGGCAGCTCCAGTCTCATCAGGAGGCAATCCACACCCTTGCCTTGAGGCCCCCTTGTTCAAGAGGGAAGGGGGGGGAGGGAGGGAATCATGTCAACACACGGCAAAAGTCCACGTCAGCAATCGTCTTTTTTTCACCACGCCATCCTTTACCTCACGTTGGGTTTCCCTCAATAGGTCACAATGCCATGTCAGCATACGTGGTGTATATAATGCCACGTCAGCATTTTTTTTTTAATTATTTTTTGTTTATTTTTAACAGCATGTGTTCTATATCTGGTACTATGTGATGGCATGCCATCACGCTGGGTGCACGACCAATGAAATTCCCAGATGGATAACCGGCAGGCCTCAATCAGGGTTGGAAAACAGGCCCCGCACAGGTCGCCCCGCCCCCGGCCGAAATTGACAGAGGTCCTCTTGCGGCCGGCAACGAAAAATGGGTGCTGGTATACTGACCCATCCTCCACAATCATGCAGAGGTGATCACCGAAGCCCCCTACCCCCACCTCCCCGCCCTACCCCCACCTCCCTCCCCACCTTCTTCCTGCTGTCCCCCCAAATAATACCCTGTGTGAAGTTGCACAGCCACTTTTGACGGTTAGTGAGTAGTGTTGCAAGGCCTGATACTATACCCCAAACAAACGACGGTTTATTTTCTAACCAGGATGCTCTTTCAAATCTTGGAAGGGGTGTTTCTGCCGCCGCACAGAAACACCCCTTCCAAGATTTGAAAGAGCATCCTGGTTAGAAACACCACTGCGAAGATTTGAAAGAGCATCCTAAGAAGATTAGCATGTATATCATGTAAAAAAAAAAAAAAAGATTAGGATAGCCGCTACGCAAGATTTTTTTTATTTTTTTTTTTGGTAGTATGAGGGCGGAGTTAGAGTGAGGGAAAAAAAAAAAAAAAAAAAAAAAATTGAAATAGCAACCACAGTTAAACTTCTTGTCAGCATTTAGGGGAAAAGTCCTCAATTTGACATTTTGGTCATTTGCAGTTTTCAGAGGCCTGGGGTGCTTTTCTTCCGCTCACTGTTCTGCCGCTTGAGAGTTTTCTTCCAAGCCCGAGCACTGCAAGGCTCCTTTCTGATAGTCATGCCAAAGGCAGCTGCCAACCGGTCCATGTGGCTGACTGGTGCACACTTATCTGTCACAACCAGGGAACAAACAGACGTAGGCATCGGGAACACACCACCCCCCCTAATAGTCTTGCAGGCACTTGTATGGCAAATGGGCACTGATTATTTGGCACACCTTCGAAGTGCTCCACAGGAGCATGACTCCTGTGGGTGTGTGCAATAATGTGGATTTATAAAGAGAGAGAGAACTGCCCTGCCCCGTGAACAGCAGGCAGAAAGGGGGGAAAGGACAAGAAACCGGGGGCTGTGACAGACTGTTTCGTCGAGTTTCACCGGCTCATCAGAAGGCTGAACCTTGCCCGGTAAACCGTAGGCAGAGAGGGAGAAGAGGACACCAAACGAGGGGCTGTGACAAATTGAGTTTCACCGGCTCATCAGGAGGCTGAAGCCTCAACAGTCTGCAGAATCCCCTAGCTGATTACACTGTAAGTGAGAATCCACCTTTACCCCGGTTGTGGTTAAGAATCAACGACTGCCCGACAACTGATACCTTGAGGTGGGCACTGGGCACCAACCACTTCCCTCAAGGTACCCGTGACGAAAATCAAAGCAGACTATCACTCACCCACGCCAGATGGAGAACTCTACAGACTGTCGGTTCACACCCCATCGCAAGCCAGCAAACAGCCCTTTCTCTGTTTCGTGGGTGTGAACCGACAGTCTGTAGAGTTCTCCATCTGGTGTGGGTGCATGATAGTCTGCTTTGATTTTCATCACGGGTACCTGGTGGGCAGTGGTTAGTGCCCACCTCAAGGTATCAGTTGTCGGGCAGTCGTTCATACTTAACCACAACCGGGGTTAAGGTGGATTATCACTAAAAGTGTAATCAGTTAGGGGATTCTGCAGACTGTTGAGGGTTCAGCCTCCGGACGAGTTCGTGAGACTCCGACGAAACAGTTTGTCACAGCCCCTCGTTTGTTGTCCTCTTCTCCCTCTCTGCCTATGCTTCACCGGGCAGCTTTGTTTGACGACTTTGCTAGCACCCTGCTACGGTTTTCTCTGGTCAGGTCGAGCGGCAGTGGTCGGGGCCGTCACTATGCGGCGAGTCTGGAGTGTTTTTTTTTGTTGTGACAGACCGTTCTTTGTTCCATGGGTGTTTTGTTGGCTTGTAATGGGGTGTGAACCAACAGTCTGTAGAGTTTGCCGTCTGGTGGGGGTGAGTGATAGTCTGCTTTGATTTTTGCCAGAGGTACCTTGATGAGTCGGTGAAACTCCGACGAAACAGTTCGTCACAGCCCCTCGTTTGTTGTCCTCTTCTCCCTCTCTGCCTACGGTTTACAGGGCAGCTCTGTTCGACGATACAAGGGTAGTGGTTGGTGCCCACCTCAGGGTATCAGTTGTCGGGCAGTCGTTGATGCTTAACCACAACCGGGGTTAAAGTGGATTATCACTTACAGTGTAATCAGTTAGGGCATTCTGTAGACTGTTGAGGGTTCCTCGATGATCCGGTGAAACTCCAACAAAACAATTTGTCACAGCCCCACATGTTTTGTCCTTCTCTGCCTGCGGTTTACCCGGCAGCTCTGTTCGACGATATTGTTGTCTGCCTCAGGGTATCAGTTGTTGGGCAGTCGTTGATGCTTGACCATAACCGGCGTTAAGGTGGATTATCACTTACACTGTAATTAGTTAGGGGATTTTGTAGACTGTTGAGGGTTCAGCCTCCGGATGAGTCGGTGAACTCCGACGAAACAGTTTGTCACAGCCCCTCGTTTGCTGTCCTCTTCTCCCTCTCTGCCTACGGTTTACCGTAGGCAGCTCTATTGCCCACTTCAGGGTATCAGTCGTTGATGCTTAACCATAACCGGGGTTCAGGTGGATATCAAGTAAAATGTAATTAGGTAGGGGATTTTGTAGATTGTTAAACCACCAGAACTTTGCCCAGCTATCGGCCGCAGGGTTGCTCGTTAACGCGGCGCAGCCTGAGGAGGTCGGCCGAGAGCAGCGCTCGGTCGTTCAGCAAAGGCCGGGCTCAGCAACTCTCGGGACGACACTCCCGAATAGAAAACAAAACCAAAAGAAAGAAAAACAAATAAGTAGGGCATACTTAGGGGATTGCCCTATTCTGGGGCTGGGGTGGGGGTTATCACACCAGCGGGGGCAGATTAGGGTAAAGGCTGGGCAGAGGCGTACTTTGGGAGGGAACTGTATGCCTT